TAGATAAATGGGTACTCTCACTCCAGTGGGAGGAAAAATGCTGGTGGCGCCTTGCAAAAAGGAGTTGGGAGCAGTTGCCGGTAAGCGAAAAACCGCACGCGCCCAAAAAGGGCGCGAAGCAACGGAAACCCGTCTCCTGCGCTCGCCAGCTGGGCTTTGCTCTAGGAAGGAGGCTCTGGCAAACCACTTCCGAAAAACAATTGCCTTGAAAACTGCAAGGACTTGTCCAAGCAGTCACAATTGCCTTGAAAACTGCAAGGACTTGTCCAAGCAGTCACAATTGCCTTGAAAACTGCAAGGACTTGTCCAAGCAGTCACTGCAGGGTCAGCAATGACTGAGCGCAGACAAAAAAAAAAAAGAAAGCAAAGATAGCACCAATAGTAATAGGTGCCTTGGGTGCAATCCAAAAACATCTGGAGCACCACTTGAAGATCATCGGCGTAGTCAAAATCACCATCAGTCAGTTGCAAAAGGCAGCTTTACTTGGAACAGCTTACATCCTGCAATGATACATTTAACACCATCAAACAACAACATCTGCCTATCCCAGGTCCTTAGGAGGGAATCCATAGGTGGATAAAAATGCCAAATCCAGTCTAAACATCTGGCTAACTGTGTGACCAACAATAATGGTGCTTGAGGGGTTAAACATTGCTGAGAGATCCATTGCGGATTAGGGAGAACTTTCAACACTTAGGTTGGCTCAAAGAGGGCAGATTCATGTTTGCAGTTGAGGGAGGAAATAATTCTGTTCGCTTCTTAAGCAAGAGGAACAATTGTTTATATAAACTTTTCTTGATGTTAGGTATATAAGATTACCTTTCAAACTTTAATATTACTTTATTATATTACTTTATATTACTTTAAAGTAATATAAAGCATATTACTTTCAAGGAAAGAAAGAAGAGATATTGTGCTCATAATAGTAACATCAGTGGGGAAGTGAGTAAGTTCTCCTCTGGTAGAACTGGAATTTAGATTAAAACTATTACTTTAGTGGACTGCAGAGGCCTTCTCAACATTATTTTATCTGAAGGCTGCAACTGGATAGCCTTCAAATCATTCTGATACATCACAGAAATGTCTCACTTTTGAGGGGGAATCTAGTAAAAATACTGCTGTGGTACCTATTGTTGAATGGATGTTTACATATTCTCTGAGGCGAAAATCCCAATTGCCTTGCTTGTGGTATTATAGCCAGTTCCGCGTTTTGCTCTAGAGAATCCTACCATTCTCCCTTCCGAATCCGTTTTTAATGCATTCCCCCTCCCCTCTTTACTGTCCTAAGCCAGGAGTTCATGTGGCAAACTTGGTTTTCTTAAATAAGCTATCTCTCACTGATTAAGGTTTAACACAAGTCTTGTTGCTCCAGATTTGGCAGGATGCTGGTAATGGGGGATGGACATTTGCTGCTTTGATGTCATTCTTAAATTATTCCTTGGCAAGAGCTCTGCATTCTGTTCTGAAAGGCAGCCATACCAAAATTCATTCTGCTGCATGACATTCAGCTGAATAGTTCAGCTGTCCCAAGTCATGTTAGAGCAAAACTCGCCTTGCAGTGTCTTGACATTCTTGTTCTTCTGCAAAACAGTTTTCTGTTTGAGTGCTTCAGACTTTCTTTTGCTCCAGACTTTTTCTTGGTGGTATGATTGTGCTTACTGTATTGCTGGTAGTGGCAATGGATGCTACTGCTTTCTGTTCCACATTTTTCTGAAGCCTCCTTGGCTGTCCATCCTTCTCAGTCTAAAAAAATCTAATGGGAAGAGTTCTCTTAGGGGACCTTCCTTTGGGATTTTAGTTCAAGCATGGGAAACCTAGGTGGCTGCAAACTGCTGGAGGAAATCTTGTATAATGAAAGATAAGACATTCCCACAGATCTCTTGGTAACCTGTAACTTAAAACAAGGGCAAGAACACCCACTTTACCCATAAAAATTTCATCACATTGAATAAGTACTGAAAGGAAAAAAATACAAAGGACAATTTTTCTTCACAGTGCTAATTCCAGGTTTTTCAACAACTGGTCAAGCACATTTAGCAGTTTATGAGATGGACTAATGAGTCAGCTTCCACTCACCATATGTTATGTCAGCCTTGGCGGGTGCTGACAGTTTGATTTACTGCTGCCCTAATTATTATTTGTCTTCCTCATATTCTTTTACCAGGGTGCAAAAGGAGAGAGAGGTGCTGCAGGAGTTCCTGGAATACCTGGACGGCCTGTAAGTTTCTGACAAATTTGGAGGAGTTCTGTTTGTTTTCCTTTTTCCTACACTATTACAAATGGTGAGTAACTCTACTCTAACTATATTAAAACAGGGAGAACTTGGGAGAAATGGGAAGGATGGCATACCCGGAAATCCAGGTTTTAAGGTACCCAATTTATTGATTTTGTTCAAATATTATATAGATAACTGGAACATATATGCATGTACTTGTTTCTATTTTATTATTGGTTTTTTTATTTTATTAATCTTATTCTTGTGTGTTTCAACTTCTTTTAAACAAATGTGTTATTTAAGAGCAGCTACAGATAGTCAAGAAGTTTAAAACAAGACCGAGACCAAATTAACTCAATGAACTCATGAAGAAAGAAAAAGGGTAGAGAAACATGGAGGAAAAATATCAGTTTGGCCACTCAAGAATGTAATTTTTGTAGGCAATCATTCGTATCATTGTAGGATCAGGCAATTTTTTGCCTTGGTGATAGAACTTAGATGCTGCTACGTAAGACCTTTTGCCTCCACCAGCACTGAGAGGATCAAAAGTATTTGCTTCTGCAGTTTGCTGGTAGCTAGCAGAGACTGGGAGTTCATCTGACAGAGAGAACAAGGAAGCAATTCATAATAGAAAAAGGGGGACCAGATAACACCCTTCTGCATCCGCTGCTCATCTTCTTGACCATCCAATCACTGTGCACCCTGCAAGGGTTCCAGATATGGGTAGGTGCTCATACGTTTTCTTCATGGGGGAGAGAGGACTTGACCTAATTAAGATCCTCCCATATATCAAAGCTGATCCATGCTTACCACCATGCAAATATAGGATAAGAATTGAGATTCTTGCAGTCACTTGCTCAGCTACATGATTTTGCTCTCTTCCATTCAATACTGTATATGGAATCCTTAGGCGGTTTTTGCTGGGGCTTTTTCCATCCCCTCCCCTTGCTACATACCTTGGGAATTCCCTAATCAAATTAAATTGCTCTTTCTGGCAGATGGTGCTGCTCTGGCAGCAATGGGGTGTATAGGAAATGTGAAGAACAATGACAACGCAGTAGATTATTGGCTGAATTTCCTTCTTGCTATCTGTTTTTTTAAACCTAATTTTTAATGTATGCTTTTGTTTAAAAACATTGCATTATTTCAATTGTTCTTAGATTATTATAATACAGAGCAGGAGGAAGAAGTACAGCATTTATTTTTGAATTGTTTGAAATTATAAAAGCAATGGTCTCTTATTTGTGCTGGATCAAATTGCTGTCATTTTGCCTCTTAACATCTGCTGTCTATAAAACATCACTTCACTTGGGTTTATTGTAATCAAAATCAGAACATTTTAACAAGAAAAGCATCTTTGAACATTTCTTCTGGAATCTTCTTTATTTTCTTCCCAAAAATTCAGAAATTCCTTTTTTTCCTGGAAACAGTAAATATTCTGCTTCACACCAAAATCATGCTCTCTATAATTTGGCCTCTGTAGAAACATACATTTGCAAACATTCTTCTGTGGCATAATCAAGGTACAGTCCTTCTTTGCTAAATGGGTGAATTCTCTTTGTCACTGGGAACTCTCTCCACTGATTATAAGGGTGCTTTAAAAATTATATTTACTGAATCTCAACTTTCCCACTGTATGTAAAAATCCCCCTGTCCTTAAGAAACTCATTCAGAGCATGAGCACTTCACAGTTATAATTGGTTAAAGATGTAGCTAAGTCTTCTTCAACCTGGTATCCTTCAAAATGTTGGGAATGGAGCTTGTATAATTATCAGCCTGCACAGGTCATGCTAGTTTTTAAATTCCCAGCCAGGATGGGTCATAAGAATAAAGATTCTCTTGAGTGTATTGTCAAAGGCTTTCACAACCGGAATATGATGGCTGGTGTGGGTCTTCCGGGCTGTGTGGCCGTGTTCTGGAAGTTTTGTTTCCTAACGCTTCACCAGCATCTGTGACCGGCATCTTCAGAGGACAGGAGCACAGACAGGAGCGGCTCTCTCTGTGCCCAGGATGATGTGACCCTGTTGTGGGTATTTATAGAGATCAGCGAGGATGCCTGAAGGGTGTGGGGGGGGTGTTGGGTTAACGATTGGCTGCTTGTTTTGGTGTCAGAATATGTGTGTATCTTCCTGGGGGTTAGGCAGGGTTTTTTCTATTGAGTTGTTAACGAGTGGCTGCTGGGGGTGATTAGCATGTTCATTGGGTGAATTGTTCACGCATCCTGGTGGTTGAGCTGAGTTCATTGACCTTTTGCAGGCAATATTTTTCAGGATTGGTCCTAATCACCCCCAGCAGCCACTCGTTAACAACTCAATAGAAAAAACCCTGCCTAACCCCCAGGAAGATACACACATATACTGACACCAAAACAAGCAGCCAATCGTTAACCCAACCCCCCCACACCCTTCAGGCACCCTCGTTGATCTCTATAAATACCCACAACAGGGTCACATCATCCTGGGCACGGAGAGAACTGCTCCTGTCCTCTGAAGATGCTGGTCACAGATGCTGGTGAAACATTAGGAAACAGAACTTCCAGAACACAGCCCGGAAGACCCACACCAGCCATTCTCTTGAGTATTTTCTTCTCTTGTGGGGGTGGAGGTGGGGGCAGCAGTAGAGAAGTGGTTTGCTATTACTGCCTTCTGGAATGCTTTTTCAACCTATTATTTATTTATATGTTTGTGTTTATTTAATTTATAGGTGTCCCATACAATTGTGTGCAGCTTACAACTAGGAATGAATATATGAATGAATGAATGTGTATGTATGCATGTGTGTATATATATATGTGCGTGTGTGTGTGTATGATAACACAGACCAGAAGAGCAAAGTAATCAAAGTAAAACAAAATGAAATGAAGCAAGCAAAACAAAACAAAAAGGGGGCTCCCCAAGGCCTGGGAGAACAACCGAGTCTATGATAATTCCTGGATGACATTCAGCCAATGGTTTTATGTAGGTGTTAGCCAAAAAGAGTGCTGAGCCCTGCAGCACTCCACGTGTGTGGGACTGTGGGTTAGATCTCTCCCATCTGTCAACACTGATTGAAACTGGCCACGAAGAAAGGAGGAGAACCACTGCAAAGCAATGCCTCTCATCCCCAACTCAAAAGCCACTGACAGATCAAGGAGCACAAGGATGGACACACTACCCACATCCTGGCTCTGCCATAGGTCATTAACAAGCATGACCAATGCCGTCTCCATACCAAACCTTACATAGCCTGCATTTCTGGGATTTCTTGTTCATCTCCCATTGAAGTCCTAATTAGAACTGATCTATGAGGGTTTTTTTGGAGGGGGTCAGTCATGGTTGGCTAGCTGCTGTTAGCTGTTGTAGGATGGTACAGATCATAATGGCTTGAAACCTCTATTTTAAGTCTGTGTGCATGTGTGTGCACTCTCTCACATACATATATGTATG